ATTGCTGTATTGCACTCCCTGGCGCTCTACGGTACCTAATCTCCATTGCCTCCTGATGTTGATAATAAAAAAAGGAAACTCATATTGATAACCGGATCTTCGCGACGACTCATCACGATCGCCGATGAGTTTCATTGTGACCACGGTAAATGGGCCACTAGAAAAAGTGAAGCACTCAGCGCCGTACAATTGATGATTTCTCATCAAAACTTCATGCAGAATATGGGGGACACATGAATAATTTCCGAATTCAACTCACATAGCGTTCTCTTAATCTCCTCTTCAATTGTCCCGCTCGCTAAAAATCCTAAGACCACTTGAGTCGAATAGGTCACAAAATTTATGTCTGTTAACCTCGCGGCTGAGTACGATTTTTTTTTTTTTTTTTTTTTGGCACCGATTTTTTCTGCGATATTTTGGATAACTCGTGTTCCAAAATTAGGAGGGAGATTTTTCGCAACTTAAGGCTATAATTTTTTTCGGGACGCATGAGTTTGTTACCAACAGCCTATTTGGCCTATGTTGGTTTTGGTTTTTCACAAGTCGTAAGTTTGGATTTACTGCACTGCAAACGAAAATTTCAAATTCCTTAACTTTTCCTGAACTGATTTTCCCAGCTTTTCCCGAGGGGAACATCATTACGTTCTGGAAACACCTCAATTGATGTTTCAAAGCCTTCTCCACTGAAAGAAAAGGTTACGGGCTCTATCGGCATGCCGGCCGTTCCGGGCTCAGAGGCCGAAAGTTCTGGGTGCTGAAGCCGCAGCTTTTATTGCTCCAGGAGCGACGCCCGGAACTTTCGGCCGCTGAGCACGAAACGCGGGCGGTATGTCTATATAGCTGGTAAGTTCGGCTTCCAGGACCAGAATTTTTTTCAGTGTCTCCAGATTTGGTCCAGATCCGCCACTGGTTTCGCTGCGGGTTGAGGAACCTCCGAAAAACCTTGGAGAACCTCATCTAGCATTGCATCTAATTTCACTTAAACGTGATGTCTCTTGTCAACCGTAACGCGTGTTGGAAGCAGTTGAATGGCTGATAAGCCTATTGGCTGATGGCCCAATAGATGATGCGACTTGTGAGGGCGCTATTATACCCATTAAGCCGGATTCCAGGCGTGTTACACGCAACGAAAGTAGCAGTTCGACAGATGCCTCAAACGGTCGGGACGCCGCGAACAATGGGTACAATGTAGTCGCGGATATTTCGCATCGAAAATGTTAAAATTGCAGAGATCGATCTGAAGGTCGTCGACGTTGGATGGGAGTGGCAGATAGGCGGGGAGAGAAGGCTTTGCAGCCTCTGTCTCACCCGACCCGTCGATTTTTGGGGGAAAAAAGCAGTGGTAAATGGCCAGCGAACTTGTAAGGCTATCATCTCTACGACTCTTGCGGGCTATTCTCAAGGGAACTCTCCGCTTACAATAGAGAATTTGCAGGTGTCTGAAATTTGATGAATTTCGTGTTTAAGTGGAAACTACTGGGTGAACTGAACACGAGGATATCCTTGGTTCATGAATTGAACAATTATTGGAGAAGATGTGACAAAATGATCTAATCTGCTAAAATACGTGTGTTTAAATGGGAATTGACGCCAGATGACGTCACTAGGCGGTGCTTTTTCTCACTTTTAAATCTATTTTTATACTATTTCTCACATCAGAAAAAATTATAAAAAATACTGTGAAATCAGATCTTCAAGTACTTTCGGATGAAGCAATTAAAAAATTTCCACGCCAATTCTCCATTGGTCTATTGCACGAAAGAGCTGCATGTAGGAAAGCGAATGGGCTTTCAAAATTGGAATCCACCTAAACCAAAAATCACGATGCGCACGTGTGAAAAGTATAAAATCCGCTCTTTAATGCATTATTGGATCACATGATTTCTACTTTCCCGTTGACGGGCCCGTGTGGGCTCTACTGTTCATTTGCTCTCACGGCGAAAAAAATGTTATTCATATACTGTTCGTGGAGGGTATCACTAGTGGATGAGTTCAGTGACATTTTCATAGGTAACATCAGTATACTGACCTGATTAAATTCGTCTCAGGATAATTTCTATATGGACATCGTGCACTAGAGCTGATTTGAGCTCATCGCATGATACATTTTATGCAAGCTCATTTACTTGCTCACAAAAACGACTTGATGCACCACTCCTTCACCCGAGGATTGACGTCAAAGATTCTGCAAAGTCTGGTTGGAAGAATAGTCGAAATTCCAAAGATCTAAACTTAGATTCAGCACGTGGACACACTTTGACGTTTGACGTCAGATTTGATCATCCCTAGACTGGAGATTGTAATAAAATGTTAAAACTAAAGGTCGAGCATAGTCCGCAGGCAGGCTTTAAATACATTTTCTCACCGAGAAAGACATTATAAGACCCTACGGACGTGGCAAATTTTCCTACGCTTTGTGCAGCACGAATTTTCTTGCAATTTTTCAGCAAACGTTATTTATGGTATAGCCTGAATTATCTGGAAAATTCTAGGAGAAATGTCTTTGACTCTGCTTTGAAATAAGAAATTTAATTGGGAAAATTTGGCACCGTCCGAAAATTAATACAGCGTTTTTTTCCTCGCGACAGTGCTGCTTTCGATTGGAATGTTTGGATTAGCATCGTTGAGACTCGGCTTAGCCATCCTCCATCATTTACATAACTGTATGAAGCATTTAGCACGAGTTGATGAGGATTCTCTCCATCGTATTTTGTGTATCATGCCGATGATAACATACATATTTATTTATAGATTTGCCTAGTATTCCAAGAATTAGAGCTCACCTTTCACATAAAGATTATTAACTGGACTGTGTCAAGTAAAACTGAGCTAATACCCCAAATAGCATCTTTCAACGAAAAAATCGCGATGTATTAAAATCTTGATGCGATTTTTTGGCGATAAAATAGCAAAAATCATCAACATTAGCGATTATCTTCAATCTATCCGCAATTCAATCTCTATTAAATCGCGTTCGATGAAATCGAAATTTTATCTCGATGTATAACGATTTTTTTATCATACAGGGTTATTCAAAAGTCACGCACCACTGGCCATAACTTTAGTTCTAATTAAGATATCGATTTGCGGTTTGTGACGTTTTTCCTCATATTAGGAGGAAAACTTTTTTAGGTACTTTCCAGTTTTTGACCCCCTCAGGGGAAGGGGGGCGAGGTGCAACTCAAAAATTTCAAATGACCACCCCCCTCATGGCCAGTGGTGCGTGACTTTTGAATAACCCTGTATAATATTGCAAATCAATCAACGTCGATAACATCGCGATACATTCTCCAATCAAATCGCAACTTAGCGCGATCACTGCTATTAGGGACCCGTTATTTTTTTTCTTTTTTAGAGGAGGAGGGGTTGATCTATGGCTAAATGGACTTCAAGTACACGTCACGTACTCCTCCCTTTTAGTCAAATTTCATCTCTATGACAAGACGAAAGAAGTAAAATAGAAACCTTTAAGTGCAACGAAGATTCCGAATTTAAAAATTGCGGGAGTTCCGAATAAACAGCACATAAAACAGCACTTAAATATATTAAATCTATAAGTAAAAAAATATATTAACCATTAGCAATAGAGAAGGAGAGGTAGAATAATATATATATTAATCATTAGCAATACTCGATCATTAGAAAGAAAGCGCGACGTTGGTAATGGTGTTTGATGATCAGAATGGCCTGCGAAATGATCAGAATTGCGCGTGAAACGATCAGAATTGCGCGCGAAACGATCAGAATGGCCTGATCAGTCGCACGTGTCTGGCACGCTAACATGTCTTTCTTCTTCTTCATCCTCCAGAGTTACTATTCGTGTTCTTCTATTGGACGTATTTATGCTAAAAGGAACTATGTGCATAGGTTTTGCGTCAGACATAGTTCCTTTCAGCATAATACATCCTATTCCTTATCGTTCTTCTCCATATTTTAACATTACAAAAACCGCACTTTAACACACAGCCGTAAAGAACTGGATGCAATCACCTCGGAGACACTTGTCATACCTGACTGAGAAAATTTTATACCCATTCTTCCCGATACAAATTAGATGAAATCATGATGAACTTATAAGATTAGCATCTCGGTATTAATGTGGAATGGGTCACCTTCATTTTGTAAGAATTGCCTGTAGCTACGAGTAATCATAGCAGTACATTCTAGCTATGCACGTTTATTTTCGTTTTTCGTTTCGTATGTTTCGTCTTCACAATAGTGCCACCGAATGCTTGAAAACGCATTGCTTCCACAAACACAGTGTAAGAGAGATTTGCTTTTTTTTTTATTTATTTATACGACTTTCAACCACATGGAGTCTTAATTATGGAAAAGGCTAGCATCAAAATTGTCAGGTGGACTAAAACATAATTTCATGCTGGACTAGATTTGAAAATAACATAAGACGCTAATCCTCGAATAGATTACTCCACGGTGGATATGTTCTGGCCTAACTCAAACATTGAAGGTAAAACGGCAACCCGCGTGATTGTGAACTGAGGGGCTTCAGGATAAGGCGCATAAGATTACTTTTTCCTATTTCAAGAACTATGAGTTTCACGTTTCAAAATTACATGGAGCCTTATGGCGAAAAGGAAGTTTAAACTCTTTTTTTGATGCTTGGAAGGTGGATTCTAGGTGTGAATTTTTCACATTGTGTACTTTCAAACAAGTTTTCGTTGAGTTCATTAATATATCGATTTTTTAAAAAACTGCACTTATGCGCCTTGTCCTCTAAGCCTTTTATTTCCGCTCCCTCTGGATTTTCAGTCGAAAAACACCGTCGAAACACACAGTCGAAAAACATGGTCGGGAGGTCCCGGGTTCGATTCCCAGCCAGGCGTCTCGAGTTTGATGGTTTCAAACAATGGTTGCCTGGGACTGGTTGTTCAGTAGGGACGGAGGGGATGGGACTAAAGCGTAGGATTATCCCTTGTGGGATAGTTGAGGTAGTAAAAAAAAAAAAATAAAAAAGGAAATAACAGTGAAAGGGAACTTACAGTGCCTCTCCAAGATTTTGCCATCCTGTAGGCTTAATTTCTCCATAGCGCGCAGATCCAGCGTCCGAACCTGCGAAAGTAATCAGCCTCGATCCTTGACTTTTCAGAAGTTTTCAAAGATTTTGAAAGTTCCAACCTGGGAAGCCTGGCCGGCACACCAGGAGACACACGCGTTATCACTAAACTTCCCCAGTGGTATCGGAAAACTCTCAAAAAGGGGGGTCATAAATCCCGACCGTTCCCGGGCACCGAACACGGCGTGGAGGTTGCCGAAACTTTGAAGCGAAAGTTGGAGCTTTTGGCGCGGAGGCGTCGGAGAGGCGCGGTGCGGCGGACGGTCGGAGCGGGACTAGGAAACTCCTCAAGTTCACGGTGCGATGGCGATGTGAAGCCATCCCCGCCTCGCCATTGGTCGGGTGCCCCCCGCGCTGGGGCTTCGGCTAGGCCTGGGGAGTCCGCTCCAGATCGGCATTTATCGCTACCCATCCACGCGGGATTCCCTTTTCGGTTTTTCTGCTCAACGGGGGGAGGGGGCGAAATTGGCGGCGGGACGCTTGGAATTCCGTCCGTTTTTCGCCGGTGCGGCGTTGTCGGGTTGTCAGTAGACTGGCGGCGGAAAAACGCCGGTGGAACATTCAAAAGTCGCTAAATTTTCTATCATAGCTCTGTCAAAGGCAATTAGTCAAATCAGGCATTTTATCAACTGCCTTGGCCGGTAGTCGAATTTTGATAGTTTACGGAATTCTGTAAATTTATGGCGTAGAGTTCACGGGTTTTGAATATTTTGGGAAGAATAACTCTTCAGTTCCGCGAACTCTCCTTGTTCGTTTCTTTTTACACCCATTTAGTACGTTTAAATGTTAAACTTTTACAAATTCTATGTTTAATAACGTGCTGAAAATTTCATAAGAAATGAGAATTCAGGATCTTAAGATTGTTTAAAATACTATTGTGTGCCGCATATTTATACAGAGAATTCTTTCTTACAGGAGCAACGAATTACTTTGTTTTGCAACTTGCGTTTAAAAAAATGCCTGATTTGACTATTTGCCTACGACATCTCTATTTTTCATATTTAAGAAAATTGTTAGTATTTTTCTTTGAAATTTTGGAATACCTGTGTCAAATTTTGATCAAAAGTTTGTGGCCGTTCTCAAATTATGTAACGCTCTAGAGGGAAGTGGAGATCTTTGCCAGTGTTACGCGGCGTTACAGGGGTGGTGGTGTGTATAGAGCGAAGCATTGCATGACAAGTTTAAGTGATTTTTTTTCGAGTTTCTGTAGAATTTTTCGTCGGTCGTCTTTGGAAGTTTTTAAGAATCTCGAAAATATGCTCTGCAATACTTTCATTTTTTCTCACTAAATAGAAGCGCCAATCCGTTCAGTAAATGTAAGAAGATATTTAGATTGTTTCCGTCGAAATGTTGGGGGGATGGGGTCTCGGCAAACGTGACGTAATTTTTAAAGGGTCTAGCACAGCGTTACGGAGCGTTACAGGGGGTGCGGTGGAGGGTGTCAAAAAACCGCAAATTTAGCGTTATATAATTTAGAGACGGCCCCTCCTGAGAAAGTTGAAGTAAAATGTACACACGTATGTTGTAGGCAGTCAGCAATCGCCAGCGATTTGCGCGTAGACTCGTGAAATTGCATTCATTTGCATAGAGATAGTAAAGGATTCATTGGTAAAGAACTTCAAAGCACGACCTTCGGCTTGGAGTGCCTTCAAACCTCCGTGATACTCTCCGCCTTGCCAGGAGGTTAGTTTAGTTGCCTAACTGAGTCAAATCCAACCAATGACACGGATTGCACTACACGCACTCGCGAATGTGCGAGCTGCTACATGTTCAAAAAGAAAAAAAATGTCTGCTTGAATTCCAAGCATAATAGTCGGTTTTTTCTACCTTTGCTCTTTACCACTGAATTATTACATTTTTTTATTCGCCATAGAAAGATTGCACTTTGCCGGAGATTGCTAACTGCCTGCGACGTATACATAATTGAAGAGCAATCTGTTCCTACTAGCAGAACGTATGATAATGTTTCGATGTTCATATATCACCGCTCCTCTGACGTAAAGACGTATCGCGATTTCCGCATAAGCCCCAGATAGCATGGATTTATATGTAAAACATGGCTCACGTGGAAATTGAGTTACGCTCTTACGTCAAGCTTCGTGTATGATTAAATGGAGCAAAAAAAGAATCACATTATTCCAAACAAATCAATTCGTAAATTTAGCGAGCAGTTACTCTCAGAAAATGATCGTTAATTGAAACAAAACTATAATCGGTTTTCGCCATCGAAACAGTCGTATCCCGTTATAAAGTTTTTCATGAGAGAAAATTATTCTCCTTTAATTCCCGTTCGAAAACGAGGCGCAACTGTAATTTATTACAGCCCACCAAAAACGTCTGGTATTCAACCAGATAAATCATCAATAAAATTATCAATACCAAGATCTTTATGTTGATCTCTCAACTTCCTTTCGCGTTTAGAGTGAAACAACTCAAAATGAAAAAGTACAATGTAGCTCAATAATTGAGTCCTTGCTTCGTGATCCATTATGCAGATGCACTTCTCATGCAAAACAATGAACTTAATTCATTTGTACTTGGCGAAGGGAAAAACCTTGCCAAACAGCTGAGACTCACAATCAGCGGGATATCGGAATACTAAAATGCGACAACCTTTTTTCTGCATGATTCGGTTTATAAATAATTTCGGTAGCTCGATCCAAATCACGAACATGAGTTTTTTCTGCCTTATGTCTTTCTAAATGTCAAAATTTATGCTGTGGCATCTACTAATTTTTTTAAAATTAATTTTACAGGATTTGGAAAAATTAATCCCACCATGGCTCTCTGCACAATTCTGAATTATATATAATATAACTAACAAATCTTAAGAAACATTTGCAAAGAATGCACAAAGGCTATTTGTACAGTGATTTAGTTCCAATGTTTAATAAAATTCTGAATCTCTAAAATGAAGGAGTGCGTTAAATATCACTGCCGAATAAAAATACTGGTAGTCGACTAAAGCTCTGGCCAGCTCTCTCGTGTATCTTACACGTGGCTTCCAGGACTTTATGTCCACCTACTAAGTCCAATCTTCATTAAGTCCACATGATTTAATGTCCAACCATGAATATGTCCAAAATAGTCCAAATTGTGAACATGTTATGTCCACATTTTTTTCTTCTCAATTAAATGACAAGAACCACCTCAAAAATAAATGCATACTGCTACTAGTTAGTTAGTATTTTAAGACGTTCAACGTCACAGGCTATTAACGTCTTTACAGAGAATTTTGAAAATGGGAGTATATACAAAAATTTAGATTTTTCAATTAAGAGAAGTGAAGAGTTCCTTCATTCTTAAAAACATTTCATTCATGAATCAAGTCATGAAAGAGAACATACTCTAAGAGCAGATAAAAACATATGTTCATGTGTACACTGTGCGGATATGATAAGATGAAAACCGCGCGAAGCGGGAGCTCAGGAAACGCTCCAATGCCAAATTAAACATTTTTCAGTAACAGATGCAGTAAAAATTGAAAGTCCTCTTTAACTAGTTATTTTGTGCGCCTTCTGCCTTGTAGGATACTGTGCAACGCTTCTGACGCGAAATAGTTGCTTCAAGCGTTGCGGCGCGGCAGGCAACGAGCGTGACACGCGCATAGGCGCCTACAAACCTAACGGGATACTTTACGCGTTGCGCAATGCGTGAAGTATCCCATTAGGTTTGTAGGCGCCAGTGCGCGTTCTGCGCTGCTAACAAGCCGCTCCGCTCTGTGTTAGGCTCTAATATTTAAACTCGCGGAGGCAGCGTTTTTCAACTCATGATTTTGAAATGTTTGCACTCTCTGCATTGATTATTCCCTTTTAAACTGATGAAAAAGAAATATGTACCACTAGAAAATATAATGTGTTTTTTGTAAATATAATGGTCGTTTCGTGTCAAATTTAATGATTTCCAAAGCATTCAAATTTATTCTTCTATGTTTTGGGCTTTTACTGTGCTACAGCGTGGTGTAAACGCAACTAAACGCTCAAAATTGGACGTATTTGACTCAAGAAGGTCGATGTACAAATAAGTTAAAAACAAAAAATTGCGTGCTTCTTAGTTTTTTCCCTCTTTTATCAATTTTTGTATAGTTTCTTTCATCACAACTACGGCTCATTGAGATTCATATCGATGCCATTGCTTTAAGAAGGCTTTACAAATATTCACCACGTTTTAAAAATGTTAAGTTTCAAAGTTTAAAAATTATTTATTATCCTGAAGCAATTTGATCTTGAATTGAGGGGCTTGGAGGACAAGGTGCATAAATGCAGCTTTTGAAAAAATTGAGATATTCATGAACTCGACTAAACCTAGTTTGAGAATATATTCTGTGAAAAATTCCCAACTAAAACCCGCCACTTTAAAGCATGAAAAATTGAGTTTAAACTTCCTTTCTACCATAAGGCTCCATGTAATTTTGAAACTTTAAACTCGTATTTCCTTAAAGGGCAAAAACTGCACTCATGCGCCTTGTCCTCCAAGCCCCTGAATTTCAATCTATGCACCAAAATTCTTATAACTTTTCTACGAAAGGCTCTTTTCCTCTACGCAAGATTTTTTTCCAGAGCCACTCGAAACATAGGGGGAAAAAAGATTTTATCATCAAAATTGTGATGTTTAAATTGGTGCGGTGTGTTGCTCGATCTACGCACCAGAAGGCGATTTTACTTTGAGATTGATATCAATCAACTTCATGACCTCCGTGGACTTTCTGATTCCAAAAGGCGCTTTTAATATGCTTATCACGGACTCTTAAACCGCGTTCGGTCTAAAGATTCACCAAAGGTCTCAAGTAGAGTCTACTAAAATTACACTAATCAACTGAGTTGTTGCATCATATTTATTTGTACTGTATAAAAACTATTCTTTGAACTTCCCGATGGATCTTTTTGAACTCCTTATCACTCGTGGCGCTAGACTAAATTATCATTTTAACGAACAAAATTAATTTTATGGCACGAACCTCTTTAAAAGAAGGATTGAATTGTAACAGAGCTCCAGCGCCAATTTTTGAAGTTATTAGAATAAAATAATTGACAGCTTTTTAACCTCACTTCAATTTGGTTGAAAATCATTCAATTAATTTTAAAAAAAATAAACTAAGCAATCGTTCGACGGAAAAGGGAATGGTTGTCCTCAAAAATTCATAATCGAGTTACTGATGCAAAAGCCTGGAGGAGAATTCTAAACACATTTTGGGGCCAAAAAAGCCTCAAAATTTCAAACGTAACGAGGGTTAAGGCGGCTTGAAGTTTGCACTTCAAAAACGTACTATTGAGAAGAAGCTACCTAAAATTCTAATCT